TCCCCCCTCCCCCCGTCCCTTTCTCCCTCCCTCCCCACTCCCCTCTTGGAGACAGGGTCTTACTATGTAGCCCAGTCTGGCCTCAAATCTCACAACCTCCTGCTTCAGTTGGAATTCCAAGTGTTTGCCTCTGTGCTAGACCTCTGCCTCACTAAACTGAGGTTCTGGGAGCCATTTGCTGGGGCTCACTCCTGTAAAACAAGGTGTTTACCAGCACCCTGTCCTCTGCTCACTTGATGCCAAGAGCATTATTTCGTTCAGGACCAGATGGACCCAAGTCTCCAGACACTGCCAAGTGTCCCCAGGTAGGGGTGGCCCAGCTAAGTCCTGTTGCTCTGGGAACAGTCATCTTGCTCAGCTACAGGACTCAATGGCTTCCCCCTTCAAGAGTCCAGTGCTTCACCCAGGTGGGAAGGCAAGTGTGCCCAGGTCTCACCCAGCCCTGTCTGAGGAGTTGTTCTCTGTGCCATCTGAAGTCACCATCTTCCAGGACGAAGAGATTTCCAACTGGGTGCTAGGACACTTGGGTGCTGGCCCCACTCTGCTGGGGACTCTTGGAATAGCTCTGAGCCAGTCTCTTAGCTCTCTGGGGAGGGATGCACGACCATCAGAGCCATATCAACAGGGGTTGGTAGAGGTGGGAAATCACTTCAGGAGGTAAAGGTCCTCTTCTGGTACCCTGGTTGAGCATAAGCTAGTGGTGCTGAGCCTATCCCTCAACCTTCTCTTAGTACCAAAGGAAGTGTGTGGGTGTCAGCATTGGGTGAGCTGGGAGACTCCCTTCTCTCTTTTTAAAAAAAATTTAAAAAATATCGGATCCCCTGGAACTGGAGTTACCAACAATTGTTAGCTGCCATGTGGGTGCTGGCATTTGAAACCGGGTCTTCTGCAAGAACAACCAGAGTTCTTAACCACTGAGCCATCTTTCCAGCTCCTATTTATTTTATTTTTAGTATGAATGTGTTGCCTGCATGTGTGTAAGTGCACGTGTGTCGTTCAATGCCTGAGGAGGTCAGAAGAAAGTGTCAGATCTGCTGGAACTGGAGTTACAGACAGTTATTAGCTGCCATGTGGGTGCTGGGAATCGAACCTGGGTCCTCTGCAAGAGCAGTCAGTGTTCTTAACCACTGAGCCATCTCTCCAGTCCCGAGACTCCCTTATCTTAAGTTTTCACTGGGACAGAGTATAAACCCCACTCTAAAATTACTGTACCAACAGATACCAGTTATCTGCAGTGGGTTCTTACCGAAGCCCTGTTGGGGACACTCTGGATGGTTTGTCCACCTGGAGGCTGGAGCTGGGGGCTCAGCCTCTGCAGCCTGTCATAGCTGCTTTCAACTCCCAAGCTCTGGGTTTTGGCTCTGAGTGGAGGGTGAGGTTGGAGCAGGGAGAAAGGTAGTTGTAGGTCTGAGTCTTACCTTCTACTATCCACTTTGTTTGAAAGTGTTTGTATATATTCATGTATTTTGAGACAGGGTCTCCTCGTAGCCCCAGCTGGTCTGGAACTTGCTATGCAGACCAGGATGGCCTCAATCCCACAGAGATCCACTGGTTTGCCTCTACTTCCCGAGTGCTGGGATTAAAGGCATACACCATCACACCCAGTGATTCATTTTATTTTTAAGTGTGTGTGTGTGTGTGTGTATGTGTGTGTGTGTGTATCTTTCTGTCTGTCTGTGCAGGTGCCCTCAGAGACCAGAAGAGGGCACTGGGTCCCCTGGAGCTGGAGCAACATAGGGTTGTGAGGGGTCCTACCAAGGTCCTGGGAATCAAACTCAGGTCCTCTGCAAAAAAGATTCCTACTTTTAACTGCAGAGCCATCTTTCTCAAGATGATGAGGCAGGCTGTCATGTAGCCCAGGCAGGATCTACTACTCACAATAAACTCTCAGTAAACATATGTTGAATATATGGATATTTAAGGGATAAACCAAGAGAATGTCCTTAGAAATGTTTAAGCAGGAAGTGTTAAGGATGTGTTGTAGAGGCCAGGGAAGTTGTTATTATTGGCTGAGCAGTTACTCTGTGGGCCTGGTCCATGCCAACCTCTTCATAGACTTTCCTCACTTAATCTTCACAAATTCCCTTTGTCTTCAGAATGCATAATGAAACCACATTTTAGATGGGATATGAGTTAAATTCTCAAGTTATCATGAGAGACAAAATTCAGTATATAATCAAAATAAGTGGGCTGGAGTGATGGCTCAGCAGTAAAGGAAGCTTACTGTTCGTTCAGAGGGCCCTAAGTTCCCAGCCCCCACTTGTGTGTGTGGGGCTCAAACAGATCTGTCACCTTCTTCTGGCCTCTGTGGCACCTGTACTTATATGTATATACCAACACACACATAATTTTAAAAAATAGTAAAAATCAATCTTAAAAAAAACATCTATTTTAAGCATGTACTGATCCTGGAACATATGGCCCTTAGTGGGATGGAGGAGACATGACAAACCAACCCCTTCCCCACCTCTAACGTTCGTTTTGAAGTAAGTTCACTTCCATGTGTGTCTACATAACAGGTACTGTTGGGAGATGAGGAGTGGAGCCGTGAAATAACTGGTGAGGGGCCAAAAGACAGGACAGAAGATGACGCTTAGAAGGGGATGCTCAGAAGAGGATGCTCAGATGGGACTGATCAGATGGGGATGCTCAGAAGGGGATGCTTAGAAAGGGGTGCTTGGAAGAGGACACTCGGAAGAGGATGCTCAGATGGGACTGATCAGATGGGGACGCTCAGAAGGGGATGCTTAGAAAGGGGTGCTTGGAAGAGGACACTCGGAAGAGGATGCTCAGATGGGACTGATCAGATGGGGACGCTCAGAAGGGGATGCTTAGAAAGGGGTGCTTGGAAGAGGACACTCGGAAGAGGATGCTCAGAAGGGGATCCTCCACTCGGAAGAGGATACTCGGACGGGGATACTCAAAAGAGGACGCAGGGAAGGGGATGCTGGGTGATTCTTCCAGGGGCCTAGGAGGGGTTCTGGGCCAAGGTAGGGCTGGGAGTCGCCGCGTGGAACGACAGTGGAACCGCCGACCCTTCGGGAGTCACAGGACTGCTCTGCCCGATTCGCACAGCCCACAGCCTGGGCCTTCTACTCACCTGCTCCACAGACTCCAAGTTTCTCTGCCTACAGTTTCTGTCTCCGCTGTGTGTTGCTAGGTTACCCGCCAATCTCAGAAAGCGGGACTCTGTGTTTGACTGACTTCCCTTTCCACCACTTAACTTCTAGTCAGGCTGTGTCAACTCCACCTCTTGAGATCTGACCAATCAAAAGCACCGTCTCTCTGCCGCTCCACCAATGGAAAGACCCGGGACTCCCTGTAGGAGAACGAGTAGGGCACTGGGGAAGTGGGAGGGGAAGTGGTGGGGCTTTGTAGTACTGCCTCCTCATCAGTGACTGACGTGCATATTAGCCAATCATCATTCGTCGCGACAGCTTAATTGGCCAGTAGGTCGCTGCAAAGGAGATAGGGCGGGGCCTGCGGGGCTGAGTGACGGGAGGCGGCGGATGCTAGGGCTGGCGCAGCTGCTGCTGTGGCAGCGGCGAGGCGGTGGTGGCGGCTGTCGTGGCTCGCGCATCGGGGCTTCGGCGGTGGCGGCGGCGGCGGCGGCGGCGGGGGCGGCGGCTACGGGCTGAGCTGCGTGGTACGGACCCCGGTGCGTGGTCTGGGCTTCCGGGGTGGTGCGTGTAAGAATCCGAGGGGTGCGAGGGCTTTGCGGGAGGGCAGGGGTCAGGGGTCAGAGGGCGCGGAGACCGGGCTGTGGCTGGGAGCTCGCGGCGCGAAAGGCTGGCAGGGTGGGCTCGGAAGGGTGTCGGGGAGGTAGCCCGTGTGCTACCATCCCTGCAGCCTGGGCGGGGGCGTTGCACCCCTTCTCGCTCCTCCTGGGGCGACCCCCGCGTGGGGACCCCGAACTAAAGCTGGAGTTGGCCCTCGCGCCTCTTCTTCCTTCCTTCCTTCCTTCCTTCCTTCTTTCCTTCCTTCGGGCTCGCCTCCTGGGTTGTGTTCTCATGTGACCTGGCCGTGGACTTCTGCCCCAGTCAGGTTGCACCAGGGTACCGCGGGATGACAACTAGCTCTTTGACCCCAGGACTTCCTATAGGGGTGACCTTCCTCCGGTGGTGACCCTCTCCGCCCTCTCCAGAAAGAAAGAGCCAAAGCCTGCCTAAGGAGGGCTGGGGTAGGACCCATGGAGCCCCGAGTTGTAGCTCTGCCCCTGCACTGCGACCTTGGGCAGTTCCCTTCCCCTTCTGGGCCACATTTCTCTGTTTTTGTAAAGAGATGGGTTTGTTGGAAGGCTGAAGCAGCAGGCCGGCAAGTTCAGGGCTAGCCTGGGCTAAGTAGTGAGACTTTGTCTCAAAAGACAGTAAACAACAAAAAAGTGACCCATGGGTTTGAACTTAAGTGGAGAGCTGGTTCTAGGAATACTTACCAGACGGTGATTAAGTGGGAGATTCTTGAACTCAACCCTGCTTGTGTTGAAATATGATGTGGATTCTTCTGGCTGTTCACTTAAGGAGAGGCAAGTATTCACTCTAAGCCACCTGTAAAGTGGGGAACCCTACCTAAAGTTGACTGTGAGCCAGGAGATTCTTTTTTGTGATGAGATCTCAGCCATATGCTGTAGATAGTGTTCTTCCAAATATCTAGATACCCTACCCAAGTTGTGACACTGAATCTAGACATTGGGGGACAAGGCAATAACAGAGGCATTATTAAACACTTTTTTTATTTTTGGTCTTTTTGAGACAGGGTCTCCCTGTAGCCCCAGCTGTCCTGGAACTCACTATGTAGACCAGGCAGGCCTTGAACTCACAAAGATCCTGCCTCTGCCTAGTGCTGGGATTAAAGGCGTGCACCATGACGCCTGGCAATTAGACAGTTTTAATACCCATTAGCAATATGGCTACTAGCCTCAACATTTAGAAACCTGTTTGTGATGAGATGAGAGAGTTGAGTCTCTTGCCTTCCAAATAAATAGGGCAGAGTACACTGCCAAAGCTCATATATTTCCTCTGCTATGGAGTACGTAAAACATTAAACCAGGGCCTGGTGATGTTGCTTGGGTAGAGTGTATGCTCAGCCTGCACAGTGCCCTGGGTTTAATCTTCAGTACTGGGAAAGGAAAAAGTTAAGTCAAAATACAAAATAAAGCCTAATTCTTAAGATAGCCAAATGATGGTATCTTACAGTATTTCCTCTTCTGCCTCTCCCCTATTGAGATTTTCAAAACACAATAAATCCCCAAATCTGGAGGATATGAAAAAAAAGTCTACTCACAGGAAGCTTGCTGGGTAGAGAGTTACAGGCTTAGCAGACTGCAAAAGGATGTGTTTTCTGCCTCTGCCCCTTCTGAGAAAGATGTGCTGTCATATGCCTGTTGATGTTCTTGTCATCCCTGAAAAGAGTCATTGCCAAACTGTCCTGCAATGGGTTGGTCTGGAGACAGAATCCATCCAGTGCTGAGGCCGCAGCAGGAGGCGGTACCCTGCTGCTGTTTTCAAGTTCAAAGGTCTTCAGGCAGATCTGCTGAGTCCTGGCTTCTTTTGGTCCTCCTAAGTAGGAATGGGATATATAAGTACAGCTCTAACAGGCTAGTTCCGAGTGTTAGGATGAGCACTTCTGAGGGACTCCGGGTATAATTGTAAAAACATCCTTGTCCCGTTTCCTTTTCAGATGCCTAAATCTAGAGGCTAAGACAGTGTCTGTACAAGAATGCATGTGCTGATCACCAGCAAAGTCTTGGAAGTATATGTAACTCCTGAGAGGGTGCTTAAGAAGATAAAGTGAAAATTGGTTTTCAAAAACAAAAGGAGAGAGATCAGGGCAAGCCTGGGTGGCCTGGCACGCTCAAATCCTGCTGGTGCTATCTAAGGATAAGGCCTGGGGACTCAAAAGGCTCTGCAGGGTAGAGACAAGGAAGGTGGGCCTGAAGTCACACAGGGCAAAGCTTGACTTTCTAACTGACCTCCCAGGCAAGTTCCTCAATCAGTTTGTTTCTACCTGTCATGTAGGACGGTTAGTGTGATCTTAGTCAACTTTTATTCATAAATTGCTAGTAGATATAGTAAATACTCTGGGTTTTTTTTGGTCTTTAAAATCTTTATAAAATACACACACACACACACACACACACACACACACACACACACACACAGATAAGCATAAAGAAGCATGTCTGTAGAGCATGCTAACCCTAATCTTACTCTCCAGACATAATTACCCCCAACTTGTCAGTTTGTTCTTATAGGAGCCCTCTCCATATTTTATTTTTTAATTTTATTCATAATTATTATTGTGTATGTGTGGTCTATGTGTGTGAACATGCGTGTCAAGGTGCATGTGTGGAGGTCAGGACAACTTTTGGAGTCAGTTGGGTATGAGGGTTCAAACACAGGTTGTCAGGCTTGCGTGGCAAGCGCCTTTACCTGATGAGCCATCTCACCAGCCACATCATCTCAAATTCTATTAGTTTAATTAGTTAACTACCTGATTTTATTTTTTGAGATAGTCTCATGTAGTTCAGGCTGGCCTCAAACTCATCATGTAGCCAAGGCTGGCCTTGAACTCTTGATCTTCCTGCCTCAGACTCCCAAGTGCTGGGACTACAGGCCTGTCCCCCATACTTGATGTCACCTCCCTCCATATTTGTGTTTTCATATACCATCATAACTCTTGTTATTCATCTATATTTTGGGGCTGTGTTCTGGAGACTGTTCTTCTGTGTAGTCCAGGCTGGCCTTGAATTCTGTAATCCCTAGTGCTGGGATCACAGTGTGTGTTGGAGCTCCCAGCTCTTAAATTGAAGTAGAAGACCAGGGATGTGGCTGGCATGAAGCCCTAGGTTCCATTCCAGCACTGCATAAATCAGTTGTGGTGGCACATGCCTGTGATCCCAGTTGATCACTTGGGAGGTGGTCTCAAAAACAAACAACAACAAAAAAAAAGGTGGAATATAATTCGCATACTGTGAGAGTCACCATTGAAAACAGTAGAGATACTTCACTAGTGTTCAGCCCGGCCCCAGCTCCCACGTCCATCACTACTGCCTGATTCTAGAACACCACCTTTATCAGTAATGGTTATGTTTTAATTATCATCTTTCTTTTTTTATCCTCCAAACCCTAGAAGATGCCTCTGATGGCACAGGTTCTGAGAAGCATCTCTGGCCCAGTGGCTTTGAACGGGACCTCAAGCTGCAGACTATTTAAAGCTGTGGTCATCGCATCCTGAGGACCACAGGACGGGGAACATGGCTGTGAGCTTAGACGACGACGTGCCGCTCATCCTGACCTTGGACGAGGGTGGCAGTGCCCCACTGGCTCCCTCCAATGGTCTGGGCCAAGAGGAACTGCCCAGCAAAAGTAAGCTGGTAGACGGGTGGGCGAGTGGACTCACAGCTTGTCTGTATAGGAATGAGAGGCAGGTGGGCTGCAGTCTGCTGAGGGAAGCAAGAACTTTGTCACCTGTTCCAAGTGTGACACAGACTCTGCTCTGACGAGACTGTGGACCTCTGATGCTGTTGCCTGGTCTTCTAAAGCTTCTCGGGGACCTGTGCCAGAGCCCTCTTAGCCCTCAGTCACTTGCTTCTCTAATACACTGTAGCTTTGTCCTTGCTACTAGGGGGCCTCAGGCAAGCCTACTCTTTTGCTCTCTTCCCTGACCCATTCCTTATTAATAAAAAATAGTCTTCCATCACTAGCCTCTGAGTTCTCACCTGAGCTGTCTGGGGGGGGGGCAGTGTCGCTTTCTGCATGTTCCAGTCCCCAACCCGTTGGGATAGGGTGGACGGGGAGCCTCATGTTGTATTGATTGAGGCTTTGGGGTTTCGAGTTGTCTTTCTGGGAATCAAAGGCAATCCAAGAGAGGTGGGAGCCATAAATGTTGTAGATCTTAAGTGTGTTTCTGGCAGAGAGAGAAGCCTTAAAACCCTTCCTGGTCCTCATCCCGAAACCATCACTCTGTTCAGGATGAGGGCTCAGGAAAGGCTTAAAATAACTTGCCTTTGCGGAGGTCCTGAGACTGCAGAGCAGGACTTCGGGACTCCCTGAAAAGTGAAGATGGACTGCCAGGGCAGAGGGATGGAGGGACAACACACCCACAGGGAAGATGCCATGGATCAGGCAGTGGCAAGCCTGGCGCCTTCATCTCCTTTGTCCAGATAGAACAGTCAGGCTTTGCGGAGCTCAGCGTCTCCCCCTGGGAAGGAATGAAGGAGAGCAGTGTTCTGGGGTGCGGGTCCACTGGTGCTCTGGCTCCCTACAAACAGCCGTCATTGCCTCCTCATGTTCACTGCCATCTCAAGTGACTGAGCTGATCCAGGATGAGAACCCAAGTCAGACTTTCCCTAAGTACCATGCAGCCTACGAAGTACTGGCTCTACTTCTAGCTCTTACCTGCTTTCTTTCTAGGATGCCCTGGCAAAGGAGACAGGATTTTTCCCATTTTATAGAGGAGGAAATTGAGGTTGAGGAAGTTTCCCAAGGCCACATAGCCAGCCAGTGGTTGAAGAGAGATTCAGACTCGGGCCTGCTAAAGTCTCTTCCCTTCTTCTGTTTTCTTCTCTTGCTCCTCCCTCTCCTTTTCCCATCCACCATTTTTCCTCACGATCTCTTAAATGCATGTGAGTGTAGGTGTTTGCAATTATTATTATCTGTGTTCATTTTTGGCTGTCCTGAATATTGAACACAAGGCCTGGCACATGCTTGGTTCATCACGTGACCTCAAGATAGAGTTATTGTTATCTATAATTTATAGAGGAAGAAACAGTCTAAGAGAAGTTAGCTAACTGTCCTCTGCACAAGGGTGTGGACCAAAGGGGGAGTGACTGGTCCAGGGGTACCTTCTGCTAATGGGGTACCTTCTGTTGCCAACAGGCAGGCTCGTTCTAAATGAGAACCTTGGCTGTCTTGATGCTTTCAGGTTCCTCCAAAGCAGCCAAGGTGGGGGCAGGTCCAGCCCTCCCATGCCATGAAAGTGAGAGGAGCATCCCATTTCTGTACCAGGAGCAGGCTTAGAACTGGTAGGGAGCCGGAGGAGGAAATGAACTGGCTAGACAGTGAAACTCACTATACTCTAGGTTCTTGCTGGAGTCTGAGGCTTATTTGGACCAGAGAGGCACATCTCTCACCATAGGGCATAATGTTTTCTGCCAGGGTACTAGTGCCACAGTTTCCTCTCTCACAGTGTTAGTGGATCGCTTGCTAAAAGCTCTAGGAACTGGAGACTACATCCAGTTCTAAGGAGAAGCAGGACCTCCCTAAGGAAAGACCTTTGCACAGGCCTGGCTATTTCCTGCAGATTTTCACACCTTCTGTGCAAGGTCCCCCATCCCTGCCATCTAGGAATAGTCAGTCTGAGCCTGATCTAACCTGGAATCTCCGTATCACAAAGCTCAGATGCTTTCAGATCCCTCTGAAGCAGCCAAGCTGGGGGTGAGTCCTCCTATAAGGAGGAGCTGAGCTGTTTTACTCATTGTTACAGGCCTGTTTGTTCCAGCACCTTCTTGCCTGACTGGTCCTATTTCCTGGGTCAGTCTACAGTATCACTGTCCTCAGCTCTGCAAGTCCCATATTGTCTTAAACCAAGGCAGTCTGCTGGAAGGCCTTCCCTAGCTTCCTGTTTGTTCACTGACGCTGGTTGGGTCTGGAAACTCCTGCTGCTCACACGGTTCTTTGAAGTCTTCTCTAAACTTCTCCTTTGGATAGAGCTAGTGACTCACTGACCTCTGATGAGCTGTCTTGATGGGCTTCCTGATTACCAGAGACTTTTCTGTGTGGTAATTGCTTGTTTAGCTGTCGGATCACTTGCTAGGCAGGAAGTCCTGTTCATGTTTGTATCTCCTAGCTCAGAGCCTGCAGGTGTAGGGACTCCTCAGGCAGTGTGAGATGAACATAGTTAGGTTTCTGGGATCTAAAGCTCATGAGAGTGACTGAAGGAAGGCCCTCATCACATGTTGAGTGACATCCCATCCCGACTCTGCTCTCACACCAATGTCTTGAGTCTCATTTCCCCACAAATGGCTATTTGTCCCAGAGACCACAGGCTTCAGTCTATGGCCACTGTAGACTCTGGGTATCCAGCAGGACAGATAGTGGGAGAGAGTTGGTACCCACGTGGACCTGAACCATGGAGACCAAGAGGGCTTCCTGAGAGCGAGGGCCTGCCTGGAAGCCCAGCCTTCAATCTATCTGATCCAGCAGCCCTGAGGTCTTCCTCTGCCTCTGGGCCTCCATTCCCCGCCTAGTATTTTTGGGTGCTCATGCGGCCATTGAAAAGTACCCTGGGCTTTACCCGCCCACACATTCACCTCCTCAGCTCTACTGTGCTGGATGCTGGAAGGCCAAGATGAAGGCATCAGCAAGGTCCTTCTTAGGCCTTTCTGTATGCTTTACAGGTACCCACAGTGTGTCTCCTCACCTTGGTCTGAAGGTCTGTCTTAGAAGATTGGGCCTGTTCATTGGTGGCCCACGCACATTACCTCCTTGTATCTCAGTTACCTCCACTGGTACTAACACCTGAGGTACTAGGGGTTGGCACTTTGACATAGGAATTTATTTTAGTAAATACTTTTATTACATTTATTTGTCTGTGTGTGTACATGTGTGTGCATGCACATGCCACAGTATACATGTGGAGGACAAAGGACAAACTGCAGGAGTCAGTTCTCTTCTTCCACCATGTGGGTCCTTGGAAACAAACTCAGGTCATCAAATTTGGCGGCAATTGCCTTTACCTGCTGAGCCATCTTACTAGCCCCAGGAATTTTTTCTTTCTTTTTTGGGGATGGAGAGCGGTTCAGACAGGGTATCGCTGTGTTGCACAGACTGGCCTGATCCTCCTGCTTCCCCTCCTGAGTACTGGAGTTAAAGGAATGCACCACCATACTTGGCTAACATGAACTTTAAGAGGACATAGTTCAGCTCACAGCCCTTGTAAGCTTTCCTCAGATACAGGTTCCCAAGTCTGGCTGTGCCTCCAGTGGCCCATAACCTCATTCTGGAGCCTTAGCCCTTTAGGAAATTGCAAAGTTTGGCTTGTCTCCCTATGTAGATTTTATCGAAGACACCAGCATCTTTGGCTGTAAGACGTCTGTTGAGATGCTAGTGAGTGACTGTGTCAGAATGGTAAAGGAGACAGGTAGGGGCTGAGGTATTTAAAACCTGGAAATGAAAAATAACTTGGAAAAAGGATCCTAGGCTGGCAGGTGGCAGGGCAGGTTTTAGAAGCAGCCTGTTGAACAGAGGCCGGGGCTGTATGTGAGGGCTGGCGACCCAGTGGGTGGTCCTGGTGGTTCCTGGCAGTTCCAAGCCACTTCGCATGCAGATTTTGCCCTCTTTGTGCCTTTAGTTCCACACTTGTATCTTCTGATGAGAAAAGGATCAGGGATACAAGGGTGGCTGAGGAGTGCAAGGCCTCTGGTCTCCTAGGTTCTGTCAGGTGTGGGCCTGTTAGGGACTCCAAGTGCCAAGCCATGCAGAGATCAGCCTAAGGGGACAGAACAGAGTTCTCTCTCTTTCACTTTAATGCTTTACCACTGTAGAGTTGCTTGAGACACAGTGCCATATTTATAGAGTGGAAGGCCACTGTCCTTGCAGGGACCCACATGTGACACCCTGACTCCTTTAGCAGAGGCTTCACTCGGTCTGAGCCAGATGGCACCAGGTACCGTCAAGATGGCCAGAGCTGCTGGCCTCAGGCAGATAAGGCCAGTAGGAGACGAAGGGAGCCGTGGGGCTGCTCTCAATATTTAGCCCAAGTGGACTACTTGATGTAGCTTCTATTCTGCACATTTTCAGACCAAGTGTCCCCAGCGTGCTGGTCAGAGAGAAGGACGCCTAAATGTCCTCTGTGACTTTCGTCACTTGCACCCTGCATGGTGGAATGGCTGGGGGGGTGGATCTGAAGTCTAGCCCCAGGCTTCTGATCCTAACTGAGGCTGCATCTGGCTTCCCTACACTGCAGCACCCTAGCTACAGACTACAGCCCCCATGATCTCCCAATCAGGAGGGTAGAGACTTGGTGCAGTTCTGTGGATCATGTGGTCTATGCTTGGCCAGCCATGGCATGAGCTGGAGACTAAGATCATTTGTGGAATGTCTGCTGTGTGTGGGAATCTTGACCCTTGGCTGAGGTGAATCCATGTTGCCTCACTCCAAGCCCAGTGGGTAGCTGCCACCGTGCAGGGACACTGAGGCAGCTGGAGACCAAGAACAATTAGATTTTCACAGCCTCCCACTGGGCCTGGGCACTTGGCTCTGCCAGAGTCCTTCCCCTGGCTTTTATAGACCTTGCCAAGGCAGGATGCCAGGTGTCACCAGATCATTGGTGGCACCAATTAAAATGAGCGAGCACCCAGCATGCT